TGTATACCTTTTTGAAATAATTATACACAGCAATGGTGACCTAACTTCCAAGAAATTTATTTCTGTTTTTTAGATAAATGCAAATCAAAGCAACCTCTATGATTTGAGCATGAAAGAGGCATGATATGGCCAAAATGACTTAAAACTATAATTGTGCTCAACTCGTCATTATATGAAAGTATGAGTACTCTAAAGAATGCATTACTATAGATGATGACATGAGCTAATGCCTTGTGCACGGGTTTGGTGTATATTAATCCAGAAAATTAAAATATACCCTGAAACTATGGGAGAAACGGTGCAATAATATTTCATTAGACCTTCTGAGAAATACTAACTTTTTGAATATTAATGAGCGAAACCCTATGGGAGTTGTGATAGAGCATAAATAAACTGTCTTAATTCACGATTCCATAAAGCTTGCTTAAGGGTGCAAATTGATTTGAAATTGGTCACAACTTTGACAGGTTTATGTATATTTTCCCATAAGAGTTCCACATATTCCTTCCACCAGATCTTAAGCAGGTCCTAAGACCTCAAAACAATCGTCGTATGAAATGATCACGTTAAGTCTAATAGGCTAAGAATCTTAGTCAACCATTTTCGTTAAAGGTGATATAAACTATGATAGGCTAATTTTCCCGAAGGAACTGAGCAGGCTTTACGATGTTATTTACTTTCACTTAGATTTGCCTCTGAAAAGACTGGACTTCAGTTTCTATGGCACCTTAATCTCGACCACACGCACAATAGAATCCGAAAGTAAGTAGTATACTTCTAATGGCAATAAGGTCCTTATACGCCACACATCCGTGTGTGCCAGACGGTCATAGGACACATGCAAATTACTGAAAGTATCGACATTCACTAACCGGTCTAATGGAATCACTAAGGCCAGCTCGTTCATGACGATGAAACTACTGGTCTCTGGTCGTATTGCGTCAGTACTTAATGCTTTCCTATTTAACAATGTAAACCCATCATAGTCTTTAAGTAAATCTTTAATTAATAATTGACATATACATTTTTTAAGCTTATCCGTTTATCAATTATGTATTCGTGGTCCGAATAGCCAAGTCTATTTGAGATTAAATTGCTCAAAATGGA